CAGAAATCTTTAAACACAAAAATTTAATTACTAGAACCAGAAGTTGAGGGCATATTAAAGGTATCCTTAATATTATGAGGCCTAGGTGTCAAAAAACTACCAATTCTTGGATGGATTCTACTCTGGAACTGTTTCCTGACTACTTCTTGTTGCATCTCTTTCAGTGTGGAATGAAACCTTTGAAATTCAGGTGTGGCATCCACAAAGTCAAGAAGGTAGTCCAAACTTTCTCTCACAGCAGATAACTTAAATTCAGTAGCCTGCTTCTCAATTCCTTCTCTTTGGGCAACTCCCTTTGTAATTCTACCTTTAGTTTTTGGAGGAAAACCCTTTTCTTCATCAACTCCATTTAACCACACCTTATCATCATCTACCTTAGTTTTTAACTCACCACATTTTTCAAGAATCTCTCTGTAATCTCTACTTTCTAAGCCTTGGAGAGCATAGTCAGGTTCCTTTTTGTAAAGAAGATTTTCCCAGGCATTTACTATGGTTATTTGCTTTACTTCATCCCAACTTCTTGCCCAGTTAAAAACTGCATTTTTTATATTGTAGATTTTAATCTTGGAAATCCCGTTTTCCCCTTTATCTTGCTCATCTTCACTTTCTTCAAAAATTACCAGACTCTCTTCCAGTTGCTTCCATCTATAAAGTCGTTTGCAGCTCAAGGTCACACCCTGATTCATTGGTTGGATCAAAGTTGAAGAGTTATGAGGAAAGAACATACATTTTATTCGACCATCCTCACTGGTTAATGATTCAGCAGAAGGGTGAGCTGGGGAACTGTCCAGAAGTAACAATGCCCTGACATCCTCTTCATGGAATCTTAGGACATTAATTTGAAAATGCCGAACCTCAGGAACAAAGTTTTGAAAGAACCATTCTGAAAACAATTCCCTGGTGAACCAAGCATCTTTACTAGGTTTATATATCACAGGTAATGAACTTGTGTCCTCTCTCACACTTTTGGGCAGCTTTAATTTGCCAATAATAATTGATTTCAACTTATGAGTTCCATCTGCATTTGCACATAAAAGGGCAGACAACCGTTCTTTGTTTATTTTCCTCCCTGGCAGGCAGATATCTTTTCTACTTGCCTGAGTGTTTTCTGGCATTGACTTCCAAAAGAGGTCAGTCTCATCCCCACTGTATACCTGAGCTAGATGCAGTTTCTCCTCTTTGATTATCAAGGACAGTTTTTGTCTAAATGGCTCAACATTTTCTGAAGCTGAACTTACGATCTGTTCTCCACATACTTTTCGGTTCCCAATTGCATGCCTATTTCGAAATCTAAAAAGCCAACCAGTGCTGGCTTTGAAGTCTGTTCGTCCAAAACATTGTGCAAATCTCTCTGCAGCAGCCTGAAGCTCCACGCCTCTAACAGGGACACCAGCTGAGCGTTTCTGTTGGTACCACATGTATACTGCATCATCTACATCACTATATTTAGCTCCTGTTGTCCTCTTTCTCTTTTCAGCTCCTACTAATGGCATGTCCTGTTTCAGTACAAAATCCAAAATCAATTTCTTATTCTTTTTAATGTCATAAAATGTTGATTTACTGATTCCAAATTCATCCATTACATTTTTAAGAGATCGTCCAGCTTCAATCCTGCTGAGAACCTTCATTTTTTCCTCCAAATTCAATGTTGTATATTTCCCTCGCTTATTCATAGTGATTTTGATTTCAAACAGCCAAAAAAATAAAAGGGAAATACCTTACTGAATTGGGAAAAACATTTTAAAATAACAAAAAGTTAGTGGAGAGTCCTGGAAGGTTGCGGCATTTGTATTGGAGGGTAATGGGCTGAAAGGAATAAGGGCTCATGATTGAAGTGTCAGTCTTACGTACTCTCAAAATTGCCACTACCAAAGACACAGGAAATAGGTTTTCGGAACCCCATTGTTTTCTCTCCCTGATAGGGGTACCTGCATATATTCTCTAATTCAACAGAGGAAAAGGGACAAAATGAAGAGTAGAGGCATTGAGAGACATGTGCTCATAAGAACAGAACCAGGTGGATTAAATCTGTAATACAAAGTTGATGCTTGAGAAAGGAGTATGAAAAACTCAAAGGTAATGACAGGGTTATCTTGTATAGCAGAGATGCAGTATGGCTTCTTCCAAAATGACCTGGTTTTACCTCACTGCTGGAACAGAAAACTGTGCTCATGTTGCTCTGTATGAAGCCTTCACTGGGCAACAGTTCATCTACCTGTATAGACCCCAAGCCTCAAGGACCCTGACACTGGAACACCTGAAGAGCTAGAGCTTGGGGACAGTTATATAGAATTTCTAAGTGAAGAAAAGTCAGTAGGTTCTGTTGCACATATGAATGAAATTCAATCTTTATTGTATTCAATATAGCAGTCTCAAACTGAGCTTTAACCTGAGTGTGAATTTTGTTGCCAAGATTATATGTAAACAATTTGTTTGTAGCACTTTTTCACTCTCAGGTCTTCTTTCTTGGGTATATAAGATGTATTCTCAATTATTCTTTTTCATTGAAAAGGTTCCACATTTAGGATATCAAGCTTCAGAATCATGGAAATTCTCAGAGCTAAATCTGAAGTTTTACAAATACTTAACCACAGTTAAAAAAAAAAAAAAAAAGTCTACCATTTCACTTTTTTTCCTGTTTACATTAGGCTGTCAACATACTTTTCATATTTCTCTTCAGTATAGATTTTACTTAATTTGCACCAAGAATCAATTGTCTGAAGAATTCAAAAGATTTCTCTAATGGTATTTCTGATCAGTTGCTTCTCATAGTTCCTTCTGTTGCCAAACTTTTCTATACTCTCAGATAATCCTTTCAGGAGCTCCTGGTGCTGCCCAAAGCCATTGCAGGTCGTGAGAAATGTTCTACTCTAATTCCATGGTTTTCATTCCAGAAACAATTTCATAAGAAACAAAAACTGCCACTTGTATCCACTCCAGGTGCTATGAAGAAAAAAATATGTCAGAAATGAGGAGAATGATTAGTATTTGTTCTTTTTCCTTCCCATTACATCAGAGCCTGACTGCCCCATTTATTCCCCAACTATATAGATTTCTCAAATCTCTCATCTAAAAACCCAGAAGAGTCAGAGCAACAGTCTTCCTCAAACATCTGTTGCTAGATATGCCAACTCTGAGTTACAGAACACTAAGAAAATCATGAAAGAATATATTTAGATGGTAGAGCCAATGACAGGCTAAAATCAAGCAACTACTAAGTGGTAACTATTATAAATGATAAAAGAATATATTATTTGTTAGCCAATAGTAGCACCATTATCTCTAGTCAGTTACCCAGAAAAAACACTGTCCACTATGGCAGTTGAACAGATATCCCCAAATTAATTCATTGTATTTTGTTGTTTCCTAGCTGTACATTCATCACTTCTAAAAGAGTGCACAAGCAGGGAGAGATGCATCAAGAGCCAGGGAACTTTTATGGGCTCAACAGGAAGGGTAAGCAACTGTGGCACCAAACCTCACACAGTGAAAAGCATCAGTGGCCTTCATTTGCTATTCATCATTTTGCTTTGTTTCCTCCTTCTCTCCACAGTTTCTCTTTCCCCCTTCTTCTCCCTTTAACCAACTAATGAGATATAAGGGCACTGCTGGCATAAGTTTCCGTTATTCAACTTAATAAGTTCTAATTATATGTTCAGCATTAGGCCAGGTGATGAGATTCTCAATGTTAAGTTACTACTAGTTATGAAAGGCTGAGAACCATACTTACTTTTTAAATAATTAATTCTCAACCTGATTAAGATCTAAGGAAATGAACCTTCTTTGATACATATCCAAATGATTGAGACTAATGCTCATTACTATCTGTTTAATCTCATTTAAAAAGGTTCAAGATCTGGGGCTGGGGTTACAGCTCAGTGGTAGAGCACTTGCCTCACACATGTGAGGCACTGGGTTTGATCCTTAGCACCACATAAAAGCAAATAAATAAAATATTGTGTTCATCTACAACTAAATATATATATGTGTATGTGTGGGTGTGTATGTGTGTGTATTTTTTTTTTCATGATCTCTGCCTCAGATGATTATAATAACATTCTGTTCCCAAACAGAAGTAGTATATGGCCCCTGTCTTCATTCTGACTTTAAACTTACCTCTGGTTGAACTGCCCTAGAAAGATGTGCCGTCAAAAACCCTCCAACTGGAGCTCCGTTATTGATTTTCTCAAATGCAATAAGGTCCATATAAGCCTTTAAAAAAAAACACAACAAACTACTTCTGAAACTCTCCCTCTAAACATAGCCTGACTCTGTGAAAATGTACTTCCCATCTTTTATTCTAATTTTTTCAGCTTTCAAGCCTCCTCTTGTACTTTTCTGTACAAGTGTCCCCACTCTGCTGTGGGGAAAATTCCTCAAGGCCTTTTATAATTTCCCCCAACCCCAAATCAACTTTCACCTCCTTGGAGTTCTCACTAGTGATGTTGCTGAAGTTGCTTCGGCCCTCCGGGTTTCTCGCGGACTCCAGCGCCGGCTACACACAGTTCACCGAGCAGGGAACCTCTGACTGGCACAGGCTGACACTGCGAACGCTGGGGAACCTCCGGCGCGCTTCTGTCTCGTGCAGAGCTCAGGCACTGCCAGGACCAGACCAAAGGCCGGAGCCCTGCGGGGAGGCAAGCTGCGGGGAGCGGCAGAGCCCGGAGGCCGGCGGAGCCGGAGCTACCTGCCTCACGAGCAAACAGCGCCCCCAGCCGCTGGGCAGGCGCCGCGTGGCCCTTCCAGAAAGCCTTGCGGACACGTGGGGCGCGCCGGGTCCTACCTGCAGGAACTGCCTGCTCTCCAGGACCCCTCAGCGACGGCCGCGGCATGCGTGCCAGGCAGGGCGGCGAGGGCGGGCCCTGAGGGCTCGGGACCCTGTCGGTTCGGAAGCGTTGACTGTTCCCCGTGCCACGGGGCAGGCAGCCGCCCCTCCCGAGCGCCGTGAGCGCGGGCGCGCGGCCGTGGGGCACATCAACGTGAGGGAGGGGAGTGGCTGCACGTCACTTCCGCTTCCCGCCGCGCGCGGCTCCGGGACCACAACCGAGACGCTGCGGGTGGGCGTCTTGTCCAACGAAGGCCTGGCGGGTGTGCGTGGCTTTGCGCCTGCATCGGGGCAGGCGGAGCGCTGCGATCCGTAGGTGGCTCGCTTGAGCCTGGGGCAGCTGGAAGCGGAGCCGAGCCGTGCGAGGTAACCGAGGAGCTGCCATCCCGGGAAGACGGGTGTTCTGTAGGTGGCGGCATCCGGCCCGGGCGGCCAGAGCCTGCGGCGGGTACGGCCCGGGCGAAGCCACCGCCCGGCTCTAAAGGCTTTCCTGGCGCCCTTTGCGTGGGAGCGGGCCTCAGCGGGGCTAACTGGGGCGTGTGCCGCTGCACCCGGAAGGCTTCCCGCTGGGGCGCGGGAGGGCCGGCGGCACCTCCCGCAGCAGTTTCTGCCCAGGCCAAAGGAGGACGAGCCCCGGGCTCCGCAGCGGGGACGGCTGGGTAACATGCTTCACTGGGGGCTTTTCTTTGAATGCCTGTGGCATTTCGGCAGAGCTTTTCTTAGCCTTCCCTAGAGATCTAAATAACCCTCGAAGAAATGAGTCGCAGAGGGTCACCCCCCATCACCAACTCCCCTTCTCTCTCCCTTTTTTTTTTTTTAAGTTTTGGGTGAAAGAAGTCCTCCACGCAAGACACTTCCCTGGGAGAGTTCCACTTTATTACAAAAGGCTATGGGCTTATATAGATCTAAGGAGAGATGGCAGGGCTTAGGTAAATGACGGGTCACTCGTTTATTGGTAAGTTCTTCCAGATGTCAGTTCCGGAGCCCACGAAATTAGTTCTTATTGGGGCTAAGGTTTCCTGCCAGCGAGATTTGAAATTGGCGCCGGCGGGGGTTTTTGGCGCTGGCAGGAAAGGCAGAGGCAGGAAGAGAAGCTTCTCAGGTGCCATGTTGGGTTTTTTTTTGGGTGTAGCTGCCATTATACCTTTTCCCAACATTGGGGATTGAACCCAGGGGTGCTCTACCATTGAGCTACATCCCAGCTCTTATTTATTTTGAGACAAAATAAGTTAATAATAAATAAGTTAATAAATAAATAAGTTGCTAAGGCTGGCTTCAAACTTACAATCCTCTTGCCTCTACTTGTGGGAATATGGGCATGTGCCATCACGTCTGCTCTTTTTCAAAAACTGGATAATTTGTAAATAAAAGCCAGCTGTGGGGGGGGTGTTCTAGGTTAAAAATTCATTTAAATCATTTGCATAGCGTCCTGTGTATGTCTTGCAAAAAATAATAATGAGCATTTAGTTGATTAGTTGGGAAATGCTTTTGGAGAAGAATATGGCTACCTTTCCCCTTAATTATTTTCCTTTTATTTTGGTTTCCTTCTCTTAAGCTCTCCTGCCATCATCTGTATGATGGAAAGGGCACTATCAACTGTTCCATGAAGTGAAGACTTCTATCTTCACAAATAAATGAAGGTCATTAGAAGTTATACCCCCTTACTAAAGACAGACTGGGTTGACCTGTTAAAATTTAAGAGGAACTCAATCTCTCCTAATCTGATTTTCTCTTATTCTTCACTTGTGAGAAACATGAGCTAGGAAGCACACCAATTGTCCTAGGATAATCCTAAACCAGTAGATGCCAGTTTTCTCAACTACCAACCTTTCCTGAGTTGTTAATAAACAAAAGGCAGCAGTGTTATTTGACATTTATCTTCTCTGAGCTGGGTTGTGCTTTGAGTAATAGAAAAGGAGAGAAGTAAAGGACCTGGCTATTGATTTTTAAAGGGAAGGTAAGATAGGACCTTTTCTGTCCATTTTCCTCAATAAATAGCAAGTATTAAGGTTTGTGTGACTTCCTTATTGACATGTACTTTTTTTCTGCCCTCAACATCTGTAGGAAGAAGATACTTACATTGATTTTTATACCAGAGCAGACGGGCCTAATTTATCAAAGGTGGCACCAGCAGGGTGCCAAACACAGGAGCAAAACTGGTGCTAGTGCAGAATGATGATGGTAGATCTGAAGGTGGTTGAGCATTTGGACCCTCAAATCAGAACTCTGTGGGAGACTAAGGAGCCTGTGACACAGAGCTCCAATCAAAGTAAGAAATCTGCACAGACAGACAGTTTGGATCCCAAGAGTTCTTGCTGGCATTTCCGGAACTTTCATTATTCCAAAAGAGCTGGACCCCGTGAAGCTGTCAGCCAGCTTCAGGAATTATGCCGTCTGTGGTTAAGACCAGAGATTCACTCAAAGGAAGAAATCTTGGAATTGCTGGTGCTAGACCAGTTCCTGACCATTCTGCCCAGGGAGATGCAGGCCTGGATGCAGAAACACCATCCACAGAGCATTGAGGAGGCTGTGGACTTGGTGGAACACTTACAAAGGGAATCTGGTCAAAGGAGGAATGGGGTGAGAAGGAAGATTTCTAACATGTATAGTGAAATAGGATGGGGGAAGTTAATTGAGAAATGATGAATTAGTTCTACTGTATTGTGCTTTTAAGGCATTTACGTTGGGACTTGAAATCATAAGCACACAGGAAAGGAAAAGTCCACTAGTTCCATAGATCACAGCAGGGATTTCCTTGACTTTAGAGAAAAAATAATTGAATTTTGCTCTTTTTTGGAGCCATGATTAATGGGGTGATCTTGCCTGAGGAGACAGAACCTGAATTCTTAGAAACAAATAAAGCCAATAAGGTGAGTGAGGGTAGATCCAAAATAGGGAGGATGCCTAGAGACCAAAGGAGAACAAGGATAATAAAGGAGGAATTCAAACAACTAGGGGAAACTGCAGAGGGAAAGAAGAAAATAGAGAAGAGGGAAGCAAAAATTTGGAAAGAAGGAAAATCCCAACAGAGTAGCTACAAGAAGAAAGACATTGAAGGATAGTTGCTTCCCTACCTTAAGGGTCTCCATTACCCTTCCTTTGTGGCTTGTTCTTGGCTTTGCTGGTGAGTGAGAAAAAAGGGTATACCCTTGGCAGGTGCCAAACACCTGCTGACCTTAGACCTACTAGGAAGTTTACAGGGCAGGACTTTTGGTATCAATCATCTGGGTGTGGGAGCCGTTCTTCCTCTCTCATTTTCTTTAATTTATTCACTTTCCCTATGAAAACCTCCCCTAGTTATGGGGTAAATGTGATTGACAGGAAAACTTTTATTTAATTCCTTAATTTTTAGAGAAAATGAGAAGATAGGAAATCACCCAGGAAAGGATCTAAGGCAAAGGAAAAAGCCAGACCAAGTCAGTATAAGAATAGGTTCAGTGCCCAACCTTGGTAGTGGTCTGAGGTAGATTTGTATGCAAAGGTTGCTGTTTTGTTTCAAGCTTATAGTTTGGAGTATACATTTGTTCCACCGTCTGTTCCACTTCCCAACCAAAAGAAAGTTCTGCAGTAACAAGGATGGGGATTATTTCTAGGTTGAAATCCATGAGCTGGGAAAGGAGCCAGTACTTTTGGGAGAAACAGCAGAGGCCCCAGGCTTAAAGGTGAAGCCAGCAGAGTCTCAATCAGAAGGCAAGTCTCAGGATGAAGAACTTTGGAATACATACCAGGGTATACAAGAACATCTGAGCAGGAGTATTTGTAAAGAAACGGAGTCTGTATTTGAGAGTGGTAAGGAATTTCATGATAATTTCTTTCTGAGAAATGTGATAGTAATTTGTTAAGCCAAAATGTAGTGGTCATATTTTGGGTACCCAGTTCTGTAGATCTGTGAAAGCAGTCATGATTAGCAGTTATGATGTCCCTTCAGACAGTGGCAAAGGTAGGGGTTGGCCTGGGGTGTAGAAACAAACTACAAAACCCTGGTAATAACACCATGAACTCCATTCCTTAGAAAAGTGGAGAGAAGGAAAAGAAACAAAGCAGGAAGGTTTGGGGCCACTCGTATTCATAAAATACAAAAAGAATTACAATCAGAAATGGACTTTTAGCCTCTGGGCACAGTGGCACACAACTGTAATCCCACAGCTTGGGAGGCTGAGACAGGAGGATTGCGAGTTCAAAGCCAGCCTCAGCAAAGAGCCAGGCACTAAGCAACTCAGTGAGACCCTGTCTCTAAATAAAATCAAAAAAGGGTCGGAATGTGGCTCAGTGGTCAAGTACCCCTGAGTTCAATACCTGGTACCAGAAAAAGGGGGGGGGTGCTTTAAGCAAAAGCAAATGGTCTGTTAGTGGCAGAATGTGAAGACAATTGTGCACCAGGAAAAAAATAATAAAAGACAAGTTCATTTCTTGTATACAGGAGTCCCTGAGTGCTTCATTTTGGAATATCTTTAATTATTGCCTAACTCAGAACAATTTATGCATGAATGGAAAATGAAAAGGGATTTTATTAATTTCTCATGACTAAGTTAACAGTCAACTGGGGAACTAGTTCTAAGAATTTGGTAGGTACTTGGTTCTTATTTATGAGAAGCCACTCTGTCACCACAGCACTTGTAAAGAGGATCTGTATTTCAGAAATGAACTCAAGAGGTTTATAGACAAGAGAAATTTCCTCTGGTTCTTTTTCCACCCACAGATGTACCTGCTCAGCAGAGTCTAGCCTTTTCTGAACAGAAAAACACCAAAGACTGGACATTGGCACCTGATCTTGTCTTGTCTGAATCCCAGGTGAGCTTTGGTTTTTAGCTGTTTAGAGTTGCCTTTTCCTGCTATCCATTATTCATACTATCCAGGAGGAACTCAGAAGCATGTTAGATCCAGTCTTTGTCACTTGGGGTACCTCTTAGGCTGTTTGCCAATCCTTTCACCCATTTCTGGCTTCTTTCTTTTTATAATGCAGTCAGGTGTTGCATGATGGTGGGGATACTTTCTGAGAAATGTGTCATTAAACAACTTTGTCGTGCAAACATCATAAATGGTGCTTACACATCCCTAGATCATGTAAGTCACTTATTCAGTGAGACCTGTTGATGCAGTCAAGAGACATGGTAAGTACAAGATGTATGAAGCTGCTGCTATCACAACATTGGGATACTGTTTTCTAGTAAACTTTTTTTCCCAGTATACCAGGAGTACACTCCTAACAATTAAAAATATGGTAAATACATAAACCAATAACTTAAAAAATAAATGTGTTTTTAATATGTACTGTACATTACTGTGTGTTATACTTTTGTACAACTAGTAGCCCAGAAGGTTTATTTATACCAGAATCACTACAAACACATAAGAAAGGCATTGTTCCATGATGTCATTAAGCAATAGAAAATTTCTAGCTTCATTATAATGTTACAGAATGACCTTCATATGTGTGGCCTATTGACCAAAACGTTCTTATGTGGCACATAACTATAATCATGTACTGTTAATTCCTTCATAGCCTGGCCTACCGTACAGTTCTTATCTAGGTGTTTGGGCTGCTTCTGTAGTAATGTAAGTACTAAACTAAGTCCATTATTTTCCTTAGAGCTTGTTGACATTTGAAGAAGTAGCCATGTATTTTTCCCAGGAAGAATGGGAGTTATTGGATCCCACTCAGAAGGCTCTCTACAATGATGTAATGCAGGAAAACTATGAGACTGTCATCTCGCTAGGTAAAGATTTTTCCTCCCATGTGTAGAAATCAAGTAACCTGACTCATTCTTGGCTTACTAAGAATGAAATCCCATGAGATTTCTCTAGCTAGTTGGTTCTCAACTAGATGGTGTGGGGAGGGAGAAGGTGTGTCCCTTACATGTGGGAGCTTTTCCCAAATATACATGCAAATTTCTTATCATGCATAGAATTCTTGATCCATTTCCTTTCTTTTATCCCAAATCTGCTCTTACACATCTTTCCCATCTTGGCAAAGGATTATCTAGATGGTTCAGGCAAAAAAAAAAAAAAAAAAACCCAAATAGTTATCCTTTAATTTTGCCATCATATCCCATTAGTAACCCATAAGCAAGTTGTCTTAGCTCCACTTTATTATGTACTGACTTCACCTATGACTCAACCTCTTGAACTCTGTTAGCATCCTCATCTAAGGCAGCATCATCTCGAACCAGATAGCTTTCTAACTCTGTTTCCTTGCCTATACTCTTGCCCTCCCACTATCTGTTTATCACACAATGACCAGAGTGATCTTTTAAGAATTTCTTTGGATTATAACATTTTATTGCTTCAGAATTATACAGTGATTTCTTAAATTCAAAATCAGCTCATTATCCTTATCAGAGCACTCAGACTCTCCATGATCTGGCCTTGCCTCCTGCCACAAGTACCTTTGCTTAATCCTCTTTAGCCACATTGATTTTCCTGTTGTTTCTTGATTTTGCATATCATTTCTGCTTCCCTTTCTCCTCTGCTTGGCATACTTTTCTACCACGTTGTAAAATTCTCAACTTTTATGTTTCTGCTCAAGCAATACTTTGTCAAAGAATGCTTCCCAGAGTAGAATCATAAGACTCTTCTGTAACGTCTTCAGTGTGCTTCAAAACATTTATTGCTTCTTGACATTCTTTGGCTTGTTTTATTTACTCACTTGCTTTACTAGTATACTAGAATATAAGCTTCTAAAATCAGGACATTGAGCTTCTTTACCACTATAGCTCCAGTCCATAGAGCATCATATCCACTCAATAAATAAATAAATAAAAACAAGATATTAACTTATTTTTGGTACTGAGGATTGAACCCAGGACCTTGTGCATGCAAAACACATGCTATACCCTGGAGTTAAATCCACAGTTCCAATAAATATTTTTTGAAAGAATGAATGATATATAGTTCTCATACTGGCCAAACTATTTAGAAAAGGTCTACCAAGTGTTCTTGGTCCATTTCTTCTACCTGAATGTAGAACTGTGAACTATAAGAGGGGTAGAAATCCATCCTCATCCATGGCCTGGTGCTAAATAAGTAAATCTAAATAAACAGCTATAAGTATGACAGCAGTTACTTGTGGATATGATACTAACCTACAGACTTTCATATTGGCTCCACTATACATGGTCTTATCCAGTATGAATTTTCTTGAGTTATTAAGACCAGCCTGTATTTCTTGTAACCTCTGGAATTTGGTTCCTTTTTGGTTGAACAGAGTGTATTCTTGGTAACAGAAGAGGGAAAATGTACACTGGGTTTCTATTCCCTATATCCTTTTCATTGATCTACCTTGGGGTTTATTTCTTAGCCTCTGCTTGCACATCCAACCATGAATGCAGTATAATATAGTGTAAACATGATACTAGATCTGGGATAACAAAGTGTAGAATTGTCCTTCTGTCTTCCTGAGTAGTCTGAAATTAGTAGATCAATTCATTGTGAAGTTGAAGTCTTTGACCTCATTTTTCCCATTTCACAGCATTATTTGTGCTCCCCAAACCCAAAGTGATCTCCTGTCTAGAGCAAGGGGAAGAGCCATGGGTTCAAGGATCCTCAGAGTTCAAAGACTATCCCAGAGAGTCTCCTACAGGTAAATATACCATGGGAGGAGGAGACATGTACCTTGATGTGATCCTTTACATGGACTTAACATTCTAAGGTTCTGCTAGTCTGATTTTTTTTAACCCATGTTCATTTTGTTTGTTTTAATAAATCACCATTGAATTTTTCCTTCCTTGTGGTTCTGTTGTTCTAGGACACAGATGGCTTATTCTTATGTTTATTCCAGCAGGGTTAAAACAAAAAAAGGACACTGAAAATCATCAGCCTGTATCTCTTTCTGACTTGGAAATGCAAGCACCAAGAGATACAGTATCAAAAAAGGCCAAAGTGAAAGTTCCCCAGAAAACAATGGGCAAAGAAAATCATGGTGATACCCACAGAGTAGGAAAATGGCACCGAGATTTTCCAGTGAAGAAAAGAAAGAAACTTTCAACATGGAAACAAGAGCTGCTAAAACTTATGGACCTTCACAAGAAAGACCGTACAGGAGAAAAGCCTTTTAAATGCCAGGAATGTGGGAAAAACTTCAGAGTTAGCTCTGACCTTATTAAGCACCAAAGAATTCACACAGAAGAGAAGCCTTATAAGTGTCAACAGTGTGATAAGAGGTTTAGATGGAGTTCAGATCTTAATAAGCACTTAACAACACATCAAGGAATAAAACCATATAAGTGTTCATGGTGTGGGAAAAGCTTCAGTCAAAATACAAACCTTCACACACACCAAAGAACTCACACAGGAGAGAAGCCCTTTACATGTCATGAATGTGGAAAAAAATTCAGTCAGAACTCCCACCTCATTAAACACAGGAGAACCCACACAGGTGAACAGCCTTATACCTGTGGTATATGCAAGAGAAACTTCAGCAGACGGTCAAGCCTTCTTAGACACCAGAAACTCCACCAATGAAGGGAAGCTTGTCCAGTGTCCTTATTCTGAGGAAATTCACCAAATGGAGTTTGACACTGAAAAAATGCAAAATCATGAAGCATGAAGAATTTTTCCTCATCAGAAAATTGGGTACATATATCATATGATTCATAGAAAGATTGACCCAGCCATGGATACATTAGTTGTACTACTTACTGTTTTTACTTTTAACTGTCAGGGAATTCCTTAGCATAAGAGATGTTCTAAGAGCATCTGGATAAGGGAAAGGGCTCTTTTGGGATTGTACATGGAAAATAGCAATTTCAGCTTTAGATAGCAGATGCAGCCAGTTAGTAGTTCACTGTGATGACAGAAGTAAATACAGATGGTTTTGCATTGATCTCTCCAGTCACTTCAACATAGTAGAAACATTTGTAATATAGTCTTCCAAGATGAAAAACAGTGAACATTTGTCTATATTTAATTGCAAACCATTGTCTTCAGGGTAACAGGCTTAACATTTTCAGTGATCTTGTGGGGCAGAAATTAATTCGAATGGAAAGTTTTTTCCAGGAGCTAAATTAGATTTTTTTCCTTTCTCTTGTCATTAGACACTGTTCACTAGAGTGGACATCATTGGAGTTTCTTGAACTTTTTAGCAACTTAAGCTCTTGAATCCTTCCTGTTAGCACAAATTTTACTGTGATAAAACAATATTTACTTCACCACTAGGGAATCTGCCAGGTGGACTAATAATGCACTATTTATGCCTCTCATTGGTGGTGTTTGAAAAATGGAAAACATCTTTAATGAGAGCATATGAAAACGGGTTGGAATTTGTAGCCATGAATATATATTAGATGTAAGGATTTTCTGTGATAAAAGTAGACTGTTTCCTTACCTCAAGATGTCAGGATAAAGCAGTCATAAAAATTAGCACTTGTCCAAGGATGGAAGAAAGTTTAGGATCAACTTCTTACAGTTTTTGTTTACTTCTTAATTTGGCTTTTGTTTCTTAAGAAAAAAGAGTTAATGTTTGTATGAGAACTGGAATGTGTGTGTGCTATTTGAACATGTATTCAGCAGGAGTTTGGATTCCTAAAAGGAAAGTTTGGTAACTGATGATTGGTGTTGGGCAAGTATAGGTAGATCTACATCCATGTTGTTATGTCTCACACTGAAAGTTCTTAAGCAGGGTCCACCTGTCTGTTCTTTCCAGCACAGTATAGGTGATAAATTTGATGGATTGCTGTCAGTCTGCATAGCCTATGGATTTTCTTAAAACTGACAAAACAGTAACTCAGGTTTGTTCCTGGTATGGCTTTTAGGTATGTCAAGAAAGAGATTAATTATCTCTTCCAAGTCTCTCTTAAATAACAAGTTGAGACTCAAAGAGATGGAGGGCCAGTATGGTGCATACCTGTAATCCCAGCTTCTTGGGAGGCCAAGGCAGGAAGATCACAAGTTCCAGGCCAGCCTGGGCAATAGGGAGATGCTGTCTCAAAATTTAAAAAGGGCTGAGGATGTAGCTCAGTGTTAGAGTGCTTACCTGGCATAGGTAAGGACCTGGGTTCAATCCCCAGTACCTCTCCCCCAAACACACATACACAGGCTTAAGAACTCATTGCTAGAGGGTCTGTGGACTATCACATAGCATCATCTATCATATATGAAGGCAGGATTAGTAGGACCAACTTATTACGTTATCCCTACACAGCCAGCCTGAATAATGTGTTATATTGAATTCTAGCTTGTAAAACACTTATGTTTCTTGATTGGCATTTCTTGGTTGGTTTGTGAAACACTCTTGTTGTCTCCATTTTCTCTCTGAAATAGAGATATCATTCAATTCAGGGTTGTTTGGGGATTAGATGGATTGATGAAAGTACAGCACCTAAAACAGGGCCTTGCCCATAGAAACATGGTGAGTATATGTTCTTTCCCTTTCCCCTGCTTCCCAGTGGTAAGTTGGACTGGCCAGCTACATTAAGGAGGCAAATGGCATTTGTGGCAACTCCATTCAGAAATTGAGAACTTACAGTTATTAGGCTAAGATGACTTGATTCTTGGCTTTAGTGTTTTATTGTGTACATCACGAGAACCACCTGAGCTATTGGTCAGGAGTTCTTGGCAGTTTTATCTCTGAGGTCAGTTGCACCAAGTTTATTTTCTAAGCCAGCCAGCTATGAGGCTGTGGTCTGCCTAGTCTTTCAGTCTTTGACCATTCTCTCAGGACATACATGTATTTCTTAACAGATATGCAGTCACTCAGCTCTATTGTGTTCTGGACGCTGTCCTAGACTCTGAAGAGACAGCAAAGGAGAGAACACATCCTTTCATGGAGATTGTATTCCAGTGAATTTAGGAGAACTGAGGTAAAAAGAATGGTTTAGCTTTCTTGTTTCTTGCAGTAAGGTAGGATCATGAGAGATTTGGTCAGTGGGTCATGGGCAGAAGCCTCACTTCCGGGCTGACACATTTGTTTTCTGGTGCAAGACTCTAGTACTCTCCTTTCCTGCCTTAATCATGGAAACATATATATGAGTAGAGGAGCCACAAGATCAAAGCCATCAGGAATATTGAGTCCCAGCTTAGAGGTCAGGTTTTCTGAAGCCCCCAGACCTGTAATGTATTTTGTGGGAATGAAAAATAAATTTCATGTTAAAGCATGGACATACTGGTGCCGTGTGTTTCTGCAGCATAACCTAGCCTGTTTAAGCAATTGTTTGGTGGGTACACTTGTAGAAATCAAGAAAATTTCCCTTTTCATTTCACCTGACTTTGGTCCTTTAAGGATCTAGCTTCTCTTATATGCTTGGCAGCTAATGCAATTCCACTTGAAACAATTAGGCACTCAAGACTGTAGGTTATAGGGAAGAAAGAAATTGCTGTCTGGGACAGTGGTATCAAGGGGAAATTAATGGTTCAAGTGGACAAGGCAACCCTTCCTTCCTCTCTAGCTTTATTCTGTTTTCCTCATTGTTTGTCTTCCTGTCCCCCACCCCTCCCCTGGACCTCACCTGTAGGTGGTGTGTCTATTGATGTTTGGGTTGGGGAGGGAGTAGGGGTTACCTTCCTTTTTTTTTGTTTTTTTAGAGAGATTTTTTAAAATATTTATGTTTTAGTTTTTGTGGACACAACATCTTTATTTTATTTTTATGTGGTGCTGAGGATCGAACCCAGTGCCCCGCTCATGCCAGGTGAGTACGCTACCGCTTGAGCCACATCCCCAGCCACCTTCCATTCTTGATGGAATAGTATAATTTGGAAACTGCCTCTGTTATACTTACTGTCAGTTGTATACCTTAGAAAACAGAAGAGATATAGGGCAAAGCACATTTTCTCAGACTGGTGTAGAGAGGAAAGTGGCTGCTCTGAGCTAAGAGATGACAGTTGGGGAGAAACTTGAGCAGGAAATTAGGACAGTTGCAGTTCTTCAGTGAGAAGCTGCCAGTGGGAAAGTCCTGGCTTAGACTGTAGTGATCAACACAGTGTCTCACATTGTCTTAGGCTTGAAATTTGGGGTAGAATTTGGAAGAAAGGTTTTGTGAATCTTTGTTCAAATATGAAATATGAGAGGCAACTGTAGCTTTAGCCTTAAACATTAAGCACTAAAGTTCTAATGAATATGTCCTTCAAAAGCAGCCAGATGATTTCCAGCACAAACCAGAATGGTGCTTTATTTTCATTTGTTCAGATAGCAGTATTAACAAAATTGTTTCTGAGAACTGTATCATTTCTTAGTCTAGACTGCCTTCATCTCCCCCTGCTAGTCTAAGTGGCCAGTTGCTAGAATCAGCCCAGATGTGGAGTTCTTGCCATTGAGCTTTGCTCCCTTACCACATACCCAAAAGTAATGGCCAAGTAATCATGGACTGGAATCTCAAATTGTGAGCCAAAATAAATCTTTTCTTTTTTTAAGTTGATCATCTCAGGTATTATAGTAATGGAAAGCTGATACATAAGTATAAAGCCATATTTTTGTTACTGAATCTTTCTACACTTGTTACTTGTATAGTTTTTTGTGTAGGTTCACTGGGGAGCAAGGTTGGGCCACTTTGAGACACCTTCAGTAGATTTATTTAAAATCTTTTTATCAGTGGTTATGAGGCAAAAATGATTACCAAGACATGATAGAGAATATGTGGCTGGACACAATGGTGCACACCTGTGATCACAGAGGTATGAGAGGCTGAGGCAGGAGGATCACAAGTTCAAGACCAGCTTCATTAATTTAGCAAGACTCTAAGCAACTTAGTGAGATCTTGTCTTGAAACAAAATGAAAAGGACTAGGGATGTAGCTTGATGGTAAAGCGCCTCTGGGTTCAATCCCCAGTACTTGGACCAGGTACAGACTGTGGCAGATTTAATAGATTGTCAATGGTCATTTAGTTGAAGAAAATACATTATGGTGCATTAGCCTCATGTTCTGAGACCATCTCAAGGGCTCTCTCTACCAAATTGACCATGAAATCATGAGAAAAGATACCTAAATAAACTACACAATATTGTATTGGATTTCTCTCTGTGTATATTTGTGACACATACATAATAACACATACACAAATACACTTTGTGGGTAGCTATAGAGGTAGATATTTAAATATGCTTCTGAGACAAATAGCCATGCTAAATGAGGCATGTTGGTATCAGATCTGGGTATTAGTGATCACGACTATCTCCAAAGTACGGGAAAAATGTTATGAGGCAGGACAATATTCCTCTGACCACAGCCTGGGACAGCCAGAACAAACCCAGCACTCACCTACAGTAGGTAACATGATGGGGTATATACTCCCTCCAGAATGGAGCACATTATACCCTCACCACCATTCTCTGTACAAGATGCTATCCATCTTGTCATTAAGGAAATTTCCACCACTATAGACCATCCACTAGTCTTTGACCACAGCTCCACATGAATCCTGTACTTTTGGAAGGTAGTGTTCAGTGCCCTCTGTTCTATTCTACGAGGAGCTTTATACATGTGACTGATATTTGTTGACTGCCACCAAACACCTTTTTTACCTTTCCTCCTTTTAATCTGAGAGGTTCCTGGCCCTGGTTACCAGGAGTAGAGAATGTGACCATAACTAAGTTATTAAGAGAAGGATTCTACCTCTGGTTAGGCTTATGACCTTAAGCCAACCGTCTCAGAACTTTTATTGGAAATGCTAGAACAAATTCAGCTTTTGCCATATAAGTAACCGAGTAGCTATTGCCAGTCTTCTTGAAATGAGAAGAGATATGAGCTTTAGGATGAAACCAACATCATAAAAGGCAAAGCACAGTGATAGAAATTCAGGCCTTGGTACCATAATGGAGCTGTAGGATCACGTATCACCTGACACCTAGAACTGCTATGAACATTTTAGCTATATCAATCTACACCTTCCCTTCATTGTTAAAGCCAGTGTAAATTGGGGTTTCTCTTTATTATAACTGAAAGAAACATAAAGATATATAGTAATAAGATAATATATCTAGGAGATAGACAATTCTTTTATATATACCTATCTAAAAGATTTTTAATGGAAAATATCAAGCATACATTTAAAAAAGAGAATAGTATAATAAAAACCCCATAGGCCTCAAAATTGTGACTATCTTGCTATCTTGTTTCATTTATCCCTTTCTGCTTTTTGTGTTTTGTTTGGGGATGGTTGTTTGCTTTGAAGGGTTTTAAAGCAAACCTCAGACATAACATTTCCCCATAAATAGTTCAGTTTGTAAGAGATAAATAATTTTTAACAATCTCTGCCCTAAATCACCTTTGAGGGAAAAGTTCCCACTCAGCAGAGCCCTGTCTCCCCCAGGAGTCAGGTTAATTGAGAGCTAAGGAGCTACCTATTCCTCCCTCAGCGGGCAACCAAAACTTGACCAAGGATTTCTCAAGATGGCTTTGTAAGAGGACCCTCTTGGCCGCCTGCCTGGGGCATTCATTTATGAGAATAGTAGACATCCCAAATGCCCCATAATGAGGGTGGTGCAGAGGGGATACCAGCTCTCCATAATAATCACCAGAGCAACTTATTAATTGGAAACTTACCTGATCTACTGTAGCACTTTTAATGAGCCCCATAGTGATTTGTTAATTAAAAGTTCAGTGGCATAGGTTAATTGTTGGTTTCCTGGAAGCCCAAAGAGCACAATAATAATAATAATTACCTTCCAACATATGTAGAGTACTTCCTCATTTATTGAATATTCAAAACATTAAAATTTCATCATAATTCACCTCCTTAGCATTCCTGCTTGATCATACTTCTTTTCAATTAGCACTTGACCATCACTTTTGGTTAACTTCTGAGAAGAAAAATGACCAAGAAATTTAACATTTCTATTCTCTTTTCCTCCTTATTTGTTATATGTATCCTCTTGTCGGGGAATTTTCTCTCCTTTCCCTTGGTTTATGCCATTCCTTCCCTTCATCCTCTTCATCCCAATGCCCTGATAATCAAGAAGTGTGGTACAAACTATTATGAAAGATCCTTTATGGCTGATTAATACTTGTCATATTTTATCATGTACCATTAACCTGTTTAGCCAACCAAGAGTTCTTTGCAATCAGAATTCCTGATTGATCCTTATCACCTTCTGCAATTCCCAGGTTGACTTGCTGTTAAGCTATTGACAAAAACTGGTCCTGCCTAAGAATGTTTGTTCCCTAGAATTTTAGACAGGTAAGTACTCTGTATGTTGAGTCACTCCTTCAACATTGTGAGCTTATTTACTGGGCACTTTTCTTCTTCTTCTTTGATACTGAGGATTGAACGTGGGGACACTCGAACACTGAGTCACATCTCCAGTCCTGTTTTGTATTTTATTTAGAAACAGGGTCTCACTCAGTTGCTTAGCACCTCACTTTTGCTGAGGCTGCCTTGGAACTCACCATCCTCCTGTCTCAGCCTTCAGAGAAATTCAGGCCTCCCGAGCTGCTGGGATTACAGGTGTGTGCCACTGCTCCCAGCTTACTGGGCTGGGTACTTTTTTATGTGCTATACATTGTTTTAGGTGCTGAAATTATGTCTACACACTTTGGGTGTTTTTTTTTTTTGGTTGTTGTTTCTAAAGAATTTGAGATTCAAGATAAAGAGAGCATCTCCTTAGCTCATTCAAATTGTGTAAATAATTGTTATCATATCTATATTTTTTTCATTTGGTCAGTTGGTTGGCTTTCCATGGTCAATTACCCATGCTGCCTTATCTTCAACCCACAACTCTCCCAAAATGGAATGAGAAAAACACCTGTCTCCAATTTTACATAATGTTACTTTTTAAAATGGGTATAACTGAATTGGCTTAGACTCTCCACTTTTATGAGAGTGGATTTTGAGTATTCCTATTTGGGAAACATCTCCAAATACTTGCAGGGACTTTCTTTTAATCCTGAAGACACTGACACGACATAATTAGAGCATTATATTCTCTGTGAGACCTTGAAACATGAAGCAAACTCTGAAGGAAATTGTAAGCACTTCAGTATATAAGCAGTTACCATCAAGGGTTCCTTAATGATGAGGATACACTCTGAGAAATACAGTATCCAGCAACTTTGTCATCGTGTGAACATCAGAAAGTGTACTTACGCAAACTAAGATGGTCATGATGATACAAGGTGGTATAATCTTATGGGACCACCATCAAATATGTGGTCCTTCAAGAAACTGGTAAAAGCTACTTTGAAATATCATTAATGGCCAAATACTACTTGCCATGCACCACATTTACATGGCCAAAGTGTTATTGGGTGGTACATGACTGTATATTCTGATGACTTGAATGTGTTCCCTCCAAAATCTAGGTGTTGCCAATGTGATAGTATTAAGAGGTAGGGCCTGTCAGAGGTGATTAGGCCTTGAGAGCTCCTCCTCCTGAATGGGATTAAGGCCCTCATAAAAGAAGTCTCATACAGTCATCAGCCAGCTTGCTTTTCTGCCTTCCACCATATAAGGACCTGATGTTTCTCCCCTCTGGAGGATGCAACATCAAGGTGCCATCTTGGAAGCAAAGAGCAGCCTTTACCAGACACAGAATCTTCAGACACCTTAAATCTTATACTTCCCAACTTTAAGATTATGACAAAATCAATTTCTGATCTTTATAAACTAACCATACAAAACAGACTAAGATTGCCTATTTACCAAACGATTTTTTACAACAATCAAATCATCAAAAACTTCTAAACAATTAGCATTATTTAAAAGTATATGAGGGCTGGAGTTGTGGCTCAGTGGTAGAACATTTGCCTGGCATGCAAGAGGACCTGGGTTCAATCCTCAGTACCACAAATTAATTAATTAATTAAATATACTACAACTAAAAATATTTTTAAAGTATATGAAAGAAATTTGATAATAAAAAGATAACTCAATTTTCAAAAGGGCAAAGGATCTGTAGACATTCCTTAAAAGAAATTATGTAAATGGCCACTCAACACATAAAAAGAAACTCAAAATCATTGGCCATCAGGAAAATGCAAAATCTCATGAGATAATACTCTACACACTCTAGGATGGTTATAATAAAAAAAGGTAGTGATACATGTTGGAGAAATCAGAATTCATATACACTGGCAGTGGGAATTCAAAGTGGTAAAAAAAAGTGTGTCAGTTCCCTAAAAAATTAGAGGGGTTGGGGATGCAGCTCAGTAGTGGAATGCTTGCCGGACACATGTAAAAACCTGAGTTCAATACCCAGCAATGCATTAAAAAAGTTAAATATAGATTTGCCATGTGACCTCACAATTCCACTCTTAAGAGAAATTAAAATATATACACATGAAAACTTCCCCACAGATGTTTTTGTTTTGTGTTTTGTTTTGTTTTTGGTATCAGGGATTGAATTCAGGGGAACTTAACCACTGAGCCATATCCTAGTCCTTTTTTCATATTTTTTATTTTGAGATAGGGTCTCACTAGGTTGCTTAGGGCCTGGCTAAGTTGCTGAGGCTGGCTTTGAACTCATGATCCTCCTTGCTTCAGCCTCCCAAGTGGCTGGATTTACAGGTGTGTGCCACGACACCCAGCTCCACAGATGATTAAGCAGCACTATCACAGTAGCCCATAACTAGAAAAAACCCAAAGTGTTTATCAACTGAGTGGATAAATAAAATATGATCAATCCATATAATGGAATATTATTCGGCAACTATCACTATGAATTTGATATGGAGACAGCCTATTTTAAACTTCTACCACATGTGTGTATGTATATGTGCATTCATCTTCAAAGAATAGTCATTATATTTTATACATAGCTTTTGCAATTTTCCATAAATAGCATACTCTATGTAATGATCTGCAATTTGGTTTTTTTTTGTCTGTTATTTTTTAGATTTAATTATGTCAGTACCTACATGTCAGGTCATTATTTTAATTAATGGCACCATTTGAATATGCCCCAATTTACCCATTCTTCTATTTACTTGACAATTTGTGATATTTTTCTTTACAGTGATGCAATGATGTTTACAGAGATCTACCCATGCAAATGTGAAATATGAAATAAATG